TCTTTATTTTATAAATGGTCTTTTTTTTTTTTTCTTTCAATATTTGACCAGAAAATGTCACTGTTTTTACTGTATTTTAAATTAGCCAAAAAATATAATTATTTAGAAATATTTATTGTTATGTAAAAGAAAAATAGTGTTTATCAAACAGTAAATAAAGGTAAATAACTTTTTTTAAAAGGTTGTTTTGTAGATTTAGTTTCATTAAATCACACATAACATGTAAAAAAAAATCACAAAAGTATTAATTTAGATTTTGACTATTAAAACATAAACGTTAGAAAAAAACTGCACTAAAACTATAAACATACACATGATGTCCACATCAAGTCATTATTTTTATAAGTAGTAATTTGTTTTTGTGCAGTGTGTGACTGTAAAAGTTAATATATTTAAATCAGAACATTATTTTATACATGGTTTCTATATATTTCTATTTTTTCCAGCACCTTGCTGCCTGATTTTTACTTTTTCTTTTTACAGATTTTCTTTTTACGATGCACATTTCTGACTTCTCTGCTCCTTCTTCATGGTTGTTCTGTTTCCATTGAGGTGCAGGACTTTATGCTGCAGTAAAAAAAAAAAAAAAGAGCCACAGCGAGTCGACAACCTGCTTTGGGTTCAGAGGGTTAGACAACAACACACGGATTATTCAAACAGCGTGAACACATACATATTCAGGGCTTAGCTGAATGAATCCAGAGCTCTCTATTCTCTCTGTGACCCTCTTTCTACCTCTTGATGCTCCTTAACAGAGTCTTATCGCTGCTGTTTGCCACCAGGTCAGCGGGAGCAGGCCTCCTCCCAGCCTGGATGTGCTGCAGAGCGACGCCTTTAAGGACCCGACGGCTTCAGGCACAGCGAGGAAGCAGCTTATGGGCTGTTGAGAAAGTGGCAGTGGTGTAAAGATAGTGATTTTCAGCATTTCAGCCGACGGCTCCTTATCTGTCCAGGGGGATGGATCGGTTAGAAGGAGGCCGGCGCTGGCAGTCAGGGGGCATCTGGGACTCTAATTGCCACCGTTTGTCTTCATTCTGTCTGCTTTCTAGCAATTCCCTGTAATTTGACGTAAGGCGGTTTGCAGCGGAGGAGCTTTGTGCCGGCTGACACACGAGTATAATTCCCAGAGGGAAGCCCGTTCCCTCCGCGGTGGGATTCATCCCCGCTGCTGGGAGGCATCTTACGTCTCCGGCTTCGCTGTTAGTCCCCGTGACAACAAACATCTTCCTCGCCGAAATGCCACGGGGCAAAACACCGAATCCCCAAACTGGAGCATTAAAGGATTACCCTGATATTATTCTGTGTTCTATTGCTGTCAACACAGCCCATGCACAGATAACTAATTATGAAGTGATGCGGCTCAGAGCTTCTGCCTGCGGGGCTTAAGGCGGATGGAGGTAAATCTTCTGCACCACAGAGCCCCGTTGTTTCTTTGTTAGTACGAACATGCCGACCCGTGGTGCACCACCCTGGAGTTCTGGCAACGGGTGCCTCCAGTCCCCTGGGTTGCAAGGTTGGGCCTCCATGGATCGAGCTGAGAGATCAGCTTGGGTTTATTGGAACTGTGGAGGCTCTTGGTCGTGTTCCTCGAGTGGTTCCTGAGCAGTGTTTGTGGTGTGATGGAGCATGTTGTCCTGTCGGGGGAGGCTGTTGGTGTTGGTGGGTGGTGTTGCCATTGGGAAGTGTGAGGTTTAGGTGGGTGGTGTCAAAATAACATCCATACTAATGTCTGGAACCGAGGTTTCCCAGCAGAACGTTGTGTTGAAACGAGTAGAGCCCAACGGATTCTGGATTTTTGGGGCTGATAAACATTTTAGGAAGAAGGAAGTTCTGTTATTTGTATATTTGTAGATATTGTTTGTACACATGTTATTGTGGATGTCCTGAGCCCAGTCTTAAGATTTGAACCAGGACTGATGATGGGAATTTGTTTTGTCTAGTTGTTAGTTTACATCCGTCTTCATGTGGAAATCTGAAATAAAAAGCCACTAAAGCAGCCGTGAGATGTGCTCCTAGGATTTAGGATCATGGTCTCAGTTCTGGAGGTCATTGAGCTTCACGAGTCTGTCATGATGCTCCTGACTAGCTAAAAAAAATGGTGAATATTTTTTTAAATTGTTGTTTTAAAACTTATTCTCTTAATTTTACTAAAATGCAAATAATAAGTAGTAAAATCATAGAAAAAGTTTTTATGTACATGCTAACTGAAAACACAAATATATATATAAAAAAAACAGGATAAAACTGTAAATCACGTCCATAAATAGGATTTTTTTGCTGTTGTTGTTTGGCCATAAAATTTCAGTTTTTTATTGTATTTACATCAACAAAGATCATTGTTTTCCAGATTTGAAAGCAAAATCATGACTATTAAGGACTGAAAAATAATTAGAAGGTTTTTAAGTTTACAGGTTTTCCCTGCTTTGTTAGAATAAAGTCAAGTTTTACATGAAAATAAAATAAGAAATAAAACTGTAAATAGTCCACAGGAAAAATCTGTTTCCTCACAAATACTGATTTGTTCTCTTACAATGTGTATTTATACAGTTAAACTGTTTAACTGCATTTAAATCTACAAAAAACTACAATAATTTCACAGATATTTGTCTTTTATTTCATAGTTTTTTCCAGTTTCTGAGCATGTTTTACCATTTTCAATTTTTATTAATTTTTCTGGCACCCTCGCTGCCAGATTTGACGTATTTTACTTTTGTCTTTTTTTTCTAGAACACAGTTTAATGCAGGATCCTGACACTAAATCCCACCTTTACTCACCTTTTTGTCAGATTTTAAGTTGACGGGTATCGATTCAACTTTAAGGTCTGTTATTTGTGACACCATTAAACCAGAATCAGTGCTTTTCGGTTCATTATTGCGCCGCTAACAGCTCCGATCGGTGACAGAACAACACTCGGCAGCGCCTCTCCGGCTCACATGTCAGGTTCTGCAGCTCTCAGCCCAGATGAAGCCGACCGTCCGACTGCATTAACTCGTCAAGATGAAACGCGCGTGTTCCTCCGGGGGCGCCTTGTTAGACCCTCCTCCCTCTTCAACCGCAGAAAACACAGCTCCAAACACGGCGAGCGTCGCCCGAGACGCGACGCCTCCATAGGAAATGCACTTTCATCTCCTCCGAGCTCCATTTACGACGAGCGCAGCCCAGTTCTAATCAGGTTTAAGGGTTCCTTCTCTGCAGCACGCCTGCTCCGCTGATAGCTAATCTGTTTGAATGTTTCTCCTCTGCCACGCCGGCTTCCATGTGTTATATAACTGTTTGCTTTCTCCCAAAGGCCTCCCTCTGCCGTACAATGAAATGAGCTGTGAATCCCGTCCCAACTTTGCATCATCATCTCTGCTGCGTCGCTGAATTATTATCTGCCAGCGGTTTTCTCTTAATCTTATGCAAATCAGCTCGGTGGCTGTTGCAGAACTCCCGGCAGAATACCTCTCTGAACATCACACCAGCTCCTGTCTGGCGCCTCCAGAAGCCACGAGGTTTCTCTGGAGATCTGATGTTTGTTAATTAGTGTGAACATTAGAAAGTAGAAAAGCGGCGTATTTTTAGCAGTTTGCCTCCGGGGCGGATCATCTGTGCCGCGAAACTCCCTCCTCGGCGATGCCTTATTGGCCTTCGACTGATTATTAGTTCCATTGTTGGTTAATCTGTTGAGTATTTTCCCTCGTTAATCCATTAGCTGATGGTTTAAAGTGTCGGAAAATGAGGACAAATGCCAGTTAGCGTTTCCCAAAACCCAACATGACGTCCACAACCCCAAAGATATTCACTTTAGTGTCGCAGAGGAGTAAATATGCACGTTTAATGAGCTACAGTTGGAGAATTTAGACTTAAAATGATTAATCAGTTATCAGAATAGTTTGCAGTTGGTCTAATTACACTCCAAAGTTACTGTGATGATCTTCGGCAACCGTCTAAAACCGCGACAGTGTTTTGAAAGTGATAAACCATCGAACACAAACACAAGCTGCTAATGCTAACAGCAAACAGTTACCTCTGTTTGGTTCTCCACCACTTTCTGAGAGAAATATCTGTCTGTAATTACTACTGTGGCTTTAATTAGTCGCAGAAGCACCTAACAATACTGATATAATGTTGATATTTGGCTAAAGTAGATCAATTAGCCAAAACACGCTGATATGTCTGGTTTTCATCACTGCATGGAGACTTTTATGTTGATTAGTGCAGCTTTAATGTGATATTTTTGATCATTAACTCTGAACTTCAAGCAGTTTCTGGACGTTTTTCTTTTTCTTTGCTTGTTTGTTTTTATTCCTGACACATTTTTACTCACTGTGGGCTCATTTTTCACTGAATTATAAAGTTTTTTCTTTACGGAAACAGCACGACTAGGGCTTTTAATTTTACAAATATTGGAAAAAACTCAGAATCAACATTTATTTCCAAGTGACCACAGGCGTTGCTAATACTGGAGAACTCTCGAGGCTCTACATGCTACAGATGTTGTATTACTTCCATTTTTAAGTGGCCTCCGTACTCTGTTCTATGTGAACACTGCCTGCAGTTCATCCTAAAACTCCTTGAATTTTCATCATGCGACTGTTGGATGCAGCCGAGTCATTCATGGCTTCTACGTTGCACCAAAGAGTCCAGAATTTTTTGTTTTTTACAGAATCTGATCAGAGCAAACATTAGATTTTTTGGTGAATTTTGAAATGATGCATGTGAAATAAAATGGTTTTGAGGAAATATCATGATTTTGAGCTTTGATTTAATTAATTTTCTCCATTTAAAAAGGAGAATTTCTTCAGTTTTTATAGTTTCTGGTGATGGTACATGATGATTTTTGTAATGACAACATGTTTCTCAACCCTCTCCGTGGGTTTTGGGGATCAGAGGGTTAAAACAGAGAACTGGGATGACATAAAATCACACATAAAGAACTCTTTCTCTCTTCTTGTAGGACCTCAGGTGTTCTTCCCCCTCACCTCCTCTGGCCTGACCGACCCACCAGCCCGTCACCATGAACTACCTTCGCCGGCGCCTGTCAGACAGCAGCTTCGTGGCCAACCTCCCCAACGGCTACATGATGGACCTGCAGAGGCCGACGCCGCCGGGTTCGTCCACTTCATCTCCCGCCTCGCCGGCCACAGAGAGGCGGCAGCCCCCGAGCCTCCCGACCCAGCCTCAGGGCTCCGGATCGGGCCCCGGCTCCGGATCGGGCCCCGGCTCTGGCTCCGGCACCGGCGCCGGCACCGGGAGCTTCCTCAGCTCCTTCTCCAGCGTGGTGAAGAGCGCTCAGATGGCCCAGAACGTCGCCGCCGCCGCGCACGCCAAGTCGGCGGCGGCGTCCGCAGCCGAAGGCGCCTCTGCAGGAGGAAGTCAGCCGGCCAAGCCCGTGATCCGCAAACCCAAGATCCTGCTGGTGATCGACGACCAGCACACAGACTGGTGAGTGGAGGCTTCAGTGTTTGAACAGAAAGCTCGACGCTATGCTGCTTGTTGTCTGAAGATCAGCTCTCAGCTCAGCAAACAGAGAAGTGAGCTGTGAGTCATTTGCTTTTTGAGTGTTGTTCCAGTTCATTTAAAGTTCTGCTCCAACAACGAGCATCTTGGTGGAAGGAACATCTAAACAGTTCTGCTACGGGAAGCAAATAGGAGATGACAGATTAAACTGTGTTTTCTAAACAATGTTATGTTGGACGTGTCTCCTGGTTGTCTCTAGCTGAACTTGTGTTGTCAGCAGGAAGATATTTACACTTATGTTTATGAAGCATTTGTAATAAATTGAACCTATGATTAGCAGAATAGTTTACTTGAGTGAATGCACTCGTTTGGTTTCTGACCAAGAAGTTAAGTCTGGGTGCTGAAACGATAAATATCAATCGATAGATATAAGAAAATGTTCAGTACCATGTTCTGTAGTTTTACTTTTATTCAGTTTTTTATGCAAGTTCACCAAGTGTGCTCCCTCCAGTCACATTCCTGAGACAATAAGTGCAGACAAAGAGAAAATTATGACTAAAAAAGGAGAAATCAGCTCATAAACACGGGAGCTTTTTGTTTTTGTTTTTAAAAGTCTGACCGAGACTGAAACACTGCTGTGTGGAAGCTGTGCAGGAAAACTGGTCCAACCAAAAGTAGGAATACAACAAAGTTATTGCACCACCTTCATCTTTTGGAGGACGCAACATACCACCGGTCCAGACCTGCATCTCTAGAAACAATTTTCAGATGAAGATATACTCGGCAACAGCAACTTGTGCTGTTTCCATAGAGGTGCAGGACTTTATATTGCGGTAATAAATGAGCCCACAGTGAATAAAAATGTGAAAAAAAACACCACATTTCCTCAGTAAAGGGAGACGGGCTGTAAGACTCTTCTTCAGAAACAACCTTTGAGCTAATTTGGCATCCAAATTCATTCACATGTGAAGAATAACTGTTCCTGAGAAGTAAAAAGTTCCATTGTCACACTCCTCTGGTTATTTTTTAAGCTCCTGCTAAAAAAAAGCTTGTTTTGGCTCCGGTTCTGAAAGCGCTGACACGTCTTTTTGTTTACGACGGACTCGTGCGTCCTTGGCTTCCGCAGGTTCGCACTTTAGCTCTGTGCTGGAATGGAGATTGTCATGGTAACGAGAGGGAAAGAAAAAAAAAAAAGTCCTTTCGCGGTGACAGAAAAATAAATGGGCTTTAATTAGACGAGATGGGTTCATCTCTCAGCGGCGGCACACGCATGAACGTCAGCGGCCGATATCGGCTGCCGTCAGCCGGAGGAATCGACGTCCAGAGCTGCAGCCGAGACGCGCAGTTTATCATGTTTGTCTCCCCGCCGATCAATAACCCGCTCTTCCATTTCATGAACTGTTATTCTGTTGCCTGACATTTTGCCGGCAGATCGACCTCGCCGAGGCTGTTATTAGCCATTTCCAGCCCTTTGAATTTATCTACAGAATTAGAGGGCATCATTTCGTACAGAAGCTTCCTCTGAAGGGGGAAGATCAGGTCGGGGTCTAAAAATGATCTCTGAATTAAAGCGGCCCGCTGACAGCCGTGTCAAAAGCTCAGAGATTGCTCTCAATTTTGTGAAAAGCTGGGCGGCCTCTTTCCTTTAAGCCGGCTGGCGGAAATCCCAAAAGGGCTCGTTTCTCTTTTCAGCCCGGCGTTTGTGAAGTGAGTCGTCGTCGAGGGGGAATGATCCTCACTCGGCGGTGGCTTTTATTCACCTAAACAGACTCTGTGAAGACGGAGTCATGACAAGTGTTCAACCGCTTTGTTTTAGCGCCTTTTGTGAAGCAGCATCTGTGTGATATAATGCAATCCAGTGCAACGTCCCTGCAGTGAATCGCGCCTTTGGGAGGTTTTGATTTTGATGATGTTGTGAGGAAAGGTGCACAGTTTGTGTTGTTGTTGTTGTGGATTATGATCATGAAGTAGTGCAGGAAGTCTGAGCCTTCGACGACCAGCACATGGTGTCCTGTTTGCGTTGTATGTTCAGAGTATTTGGAGGTTGGTTGCTGGCATGTCCTCTACAGTCCCATTTGGTAAAAACGCACTTCTTGTGCGTTTTGCGATTGGAGAAGTAATTTAGTTTAATCAATAGTCGTCTATTTCAAACGTTTTACAATCCCTCACTGCTTCCGTGATGTCTCTCACTTTATCAGGTACATTTATGTTCTTGAGCTGCTTCTGCTTTCTCAAAAATTCACCAGATGTTCTGCTGCTTGCTGCAAGAGTGAACACAAGCGTCTCCATGCACTCCCAGCATCAGAGGAACTGAAGATCCAGTGGATTAATTTAATTATTGATGGTTATGTCACCACAACAAGAGGAGAATCCTTCGTGGTAGCGTGTTGTGCGGCTAATGTGGCTAACACTACCATTAGCTTGGTCAGAAATGTGTGCAAACTGTAAATCTGAGGGATGGTAGAGGCTTTGATTTGAAACCAGTAAACCATGACTGGGTGCGTCACTTCAACCTAAACTCAGCTGATGTTCACATCTGTTGCTTCTCTCCTGC